AGTACCGTAAGTACTCGAAATATGCACTCGAATACTGTGCATTCGAGTTCTGTATATTGTGTATCGAGTATCCGAGTACCTTATTAGGTATTCTCGTCAGCTCGACTCGACGCATCACCACGAGTACGTCCAATGTGAGGCCCAAATATTTAATTGCTTGATGATGCGTCGTTCGAAAGCGAAACACGTATCGCACCAGGACATAATAAAGGTTGCGGAATTAAATAAAATCAAATTTATTAGTTCCTATTGGACTACCGTAAAGTACAAGTAGTACGGACTTAATTTAGATTTAGATTTAAAAAAAAAAACTTTTACTTTTATACAACTTAGAATGGCAAACAAGCTGACGGTCCACCTGATGGAAAGTGGTAACCTTCGCCTATATACATGAGCAGTACCATGGACATAACAGAGTATACAGTTTCCCCCATGATACCTCCCATGCGTTGCCATTCCTGAGGACTCAGGTGTTATTCCTCTGTACCCTGTAAATTCACACCAAATCCCACCCTTCAAACCGAAACACAGCCAAACAAACACAACTGCTTCACGGTTGAAACACGAATGGGACAGAGGTACCCAAGCAAACGACTTTAGTACAAAGTCTCCCTCTGGTAAAAAAAATTGAAAATTTATACATATGTTCAACTTTATTATACACACGTGTAGATAACTGACTAATAAATCAATAATGCATATAAGCATATTACATTATTTCATTATATCACAATATCTAAAAATAGAAAAAACAATTGAATCTAATCTAATCACATAGATATGTGCACATTAATATTATGACTTCAAATGTCATTCTTTGGTCGTCATTTCGTATATCTATTAAAAATAGCATACCTAAGTTCGCAGTAAACCCGGATAGATAAGCGAATGAGTTTTATGTGTAATTATTTAGAATTATATATATATAATAGATTTTTTTTATACCACGGAGGTGGCAATCAAGCATACAGCCCACCTGACGGTAAGCGGTTACCGTAGCCTATGAACGCCTGCAATACCAGGTGTATTACGCGCGCGTTGCCGACCCTGAAGAAACCTCTTTACACCCCTTTTGAAGAACCCCATGCTGTCTAGTCTCTTGGGAAAACCTAATGCATGATTTTATTTGCTCCTTTTAGATAACTTTACATACATGTTTGATGTCCAAGTAATACAATTATTTCGCGTCTCCTTTATAGGTTCAAAATCAAGAACGGATCCACCGTTGTTAGCATAATGGGTATGCCCACATCCCTAATATAGTAAGGTGAAAATGAAATAGTGACCCCGCCTGTGAGAGATGATGGGTGAGGGTGAAAACAGATCAGTTGGCCGATACTCTAATAAACTTGCATGAAGAGGAAGGGATTGTTTTTTTTTTTTTTTGATGGCTGAAAATGGTATGGTAACCCCGCCTGCGCTAATGGGATACGCTGACGGAACACCAGTGAAGGGTGATCGATGAGAATGAAAACAGGCCAGTTAGCCCATCATAAATTAATTCATCAGGAATTAACCATGATAGTTTCCAGGGGGAACCGCGAGGAAGTCGAGAACCTCACCGGTCCCCCTTCACTGGTGTCCCGCCAGCGTATACCGTTAGCGCAGGCGGGGTTACCATACCATTTTCACCAATCAAAAAAAATTTCCGAAGAAATAAATTAATTTGGTACTTTCCAACTTCAAACATCATAACAAAAAACCTGTAACAATAACAAAGCGGTGACAGTTGAAGTGTTTTATAAACATACATGGTCGTTTGGTATCATTTTGATGTTTTATTCTTATGTCATTATGAGAGGACACATTTGACTTCCCGTATTGTTATAGACAAGACGAAAGTTAAAAAAAAAATACAATAATGGCTTATTTTGTGATAGTGGCAGTTATGTGTTTAGGTTTGTTTAAATTTTTATAAACTTGTGCAAACAATATTTAATCTAATGATTTTTTTTTTTAAAAAATCATCAGATTTGCCTGGGCACCAGTGAAGGGTGACAGGTGAGGATGAAAAGGCAGGTCAGTTAGCCCATAGTGATGAATACATTTGGAATTCAGCACGATGGTTTCCAGGGGAGACCACGGGGAGGTCGACCTGTTAGGGTATATTATTAGCAATGGAACTGATAATCCGCATTACTAACAATCCCTTCTCCCCCTATCTAATCATATTGACGTTTACAATGTGAGATTTGAATGTGTTATTATTTTATCTATAACTAACGATTCGGTATATCTTCGCAGGAGTAAATACAATTTTAATTATATTAGAAAATAATTAATTATATATAAAAATGAATAAATATATGTTTATTTCTTTCAATCGGTGAAAATAGAATGGTAACGCATCCTCCGCTATCGGTATACACCAATGGGGCACCAGTGAGTGAAGATTGGTGTGGATGAAGCAGATCAGTTAGCCTTAGAATTATACAAGAATTAACTACAATGATTCTATGGAGAACCGCTTGGCGGTTGACCTGATAAGGTTTATTGCTAGCAATAAGGGCTGTTAAAGCCTATTACTATAAATCCCTTTCCCCTAACCTAATATACAACTTATGTTACTCAATGAAAACCTAACCATTGTTTCTGCCTACCCTGATGGGAGACAGGCGTGACAGATATGTATGTATGTATGTATGAAAACCTAACTTTTTATACCAGAGTGATTTTTTTTATATTTTCATCATCATTACATCAACCATTAACTATGCACTGCTGAACATACTCCTCCTAGGGGTTTTACCAATAGATACCACGCTTGGAAGGTGAGTTTTTTTCTTTTTTAATAGATGAAAATGGAATAGCCCGCCCGCGGTATCGATATACACCGACGAGTCACCAGTGAGGGATGATAGGTGACAATGAAAGCAGGTCAGTCAGCCCATCGTGAAGAATTCGACAAGAATTAACCACGATGGTTTCCAGGGGAAACCGCGTGGAGGTCGACCTGATAAGGTATATTGCTAGCAATGGGGCTGTTAGAACCAATTACTAACAGACGCGGGGGGAAGGGCCCCCCGCGTGTAAATAGTAATAGAAACTGTAGAAGCTTGCACAACTTCTAACCCGGTAGTTCCATATAGATATATTGCGTCGCGTCTGACTTACTTTGAAGAAATTTGATATTGTTGAATAACAGTGATCGCAGATGTATTCCTGTATAGCTTCTTATACAATCCGGTCGCGATGATATAAAGTCCGATACGATTGGTCCATATTAATATTATACATAAGAAATAATAATTAAGTTAATTTTAAGAATCAAATTTGGTCACTATCCATCAAATAAGTTTGCATATTTAATGAAAAAAGGAAATTCACCAAATCGTATTGTCTGTGGTAAAGTTGAAGATGTACAGCACCCATTGATGGAATGTGATAGCAACCGAAGGGAAAGGGAAACATTTTTAAAAACATTTAATATTAATAAATTTGATGTGGCGATTGTTCAGAGCATAATGCATGCTCCTACTACCAAAATTGCTTTGTGCTTAAGTGAATTAATAAGTAGTATTGTTTAGTTATAATTATAATAGTAGATAACTTGTTTAGATTTTATGGAATTGATATGTTAAAAAACAAAAGTAGCAAATTAAACGTAGATTAAAAAAAAATACTTGATTGTTTGTTTGTTATGGATAAACTCAAAAATTACTTAACAGATTTAAAAGCCGCCAGCGTATACCGATAGCGCAGGCGGGGTTACCATTTCATTATCACCCATTAATAAAAAAAAACCTACAATTATAGTAAAAATAATCTTCCTACCCTTTTCCCAATTATTATTTGTGGTCGGCGTAATGTTTTTATCCATATTACAAAAAGATTTGGCTTATAGTTTTACGACCGGTCGCCTGCCTGACGTCAATTATAGTATTGTAATAAAATAAAATTTAAATAATCATGGCACACTTCAATATTTATAGGGTATATATATATATATATATATATATATATATATATATATATATATATATATATATATATATATATACCATTCTTATATCTCTTCATGAAATGTTTTATAACTATAATTTTGTTATGTAAATAAATACAAAAAACACTAGTGGAACTATAAAAATGGTATCATTTTGGAGTACATCATCTACCATGTATTATATGATCCATAAAAGCAAAATACCACCTTTTTTTATTTTTCAGATTTCTCTCTCGCCGACCTACGACATGAGCCTGTGTGGACATACGACGGTAAAGACATCTTTAATACTTACATTGCCATACTATTTCAATTTTTATTCCACTAAAATAAGGGAGTATTTTTGCTAGCAGTATCCCACGGCTTTCATCATAAACCTAGGGCTCAAAAGGACTTGTACCCAAAGCCGTAAAACATATTAATAAAAAAAAATCATAAACCAATTTTAGCTATTAAACTGTTTTGTCTCTTTCTTTTGAGCTAAATTCCCAATTTAAAATTGAAATGACAGAACAGTGTAATATATAAAATAGATTCGCAGAAAGTTTTAGTTCTTATGAATAAGGGGGTGTCTTTCGTCTAGGCAGGGCAGGCATTGTCCTTTATGCGTAACAAGCTATTTCCGATACTTAGGTAATAAATTTACTTGTGTCTCCATAACACGTATGTCATCAAAAATACATAAAACATGCACACAACAAAGAAAGAACATAAAAGAGCATCACAAGCTGAAGTTATGTGTTTGATACAGTTATTGAAACTTTTTTCTTTTAATACATAAGAAGGTGGCCATTTTTTTTTATTTAATTATTATTTGACAAAAAACACAAAGTTACAAAAACAAGATACAATGGGCGCCTCACTAGGCGAACCTGTATCGTGGGTACCCGGCAAAGATTAACAAATCACAAATGTGTTGTAATAAAAAATACATAGTGGGCGGGTATTAATATAAAAAGAAATATAAAAAAGAAATAGTAAAAAAAATAATAGAATCAACAATAAATACACTAATAGAAACGATTTATTTTTATATGGTTTCACTCTATTTATTTATTCATAGAAACTCCAATAGCATAGTTATTAATAGTTTTTTTTTTCTTTTTTTATGAATAAGGTAGAATTCATAACTAGACGATTTTATTGAATGACACGTTACAGACGAGCGGTCGTGGCCGGGTACACGGTGCAAGGAGGGTGGCATGCGACAGTCTCCCATAGACATCAAGACTTCTGATGTGGTCGATGACTTCGCCAAGCAGTTTATCAAATACGGCCCACTCGTGTTCAGTGGCTACCACAGCGTACTGGTGTCTGGAGTCAACAATGGATATACAGGTAACTTCGGATAGACGAGAAAGCTAACTTACCTACTTGACGGAAAGTGGTAACCGTCGCCTATAGACATAAGCAGTACCATGGACATAACAGAGTATACTGTTTCGCCCATGATAACCCCCATGCGTTGCCATTCCTGAGAACTCAGGAATCTCTATCTCCATCCCAACAATTTAAGAGTTTGGGTGATTTTCAGCAAGTGTAGAAGTTTTTTTCTAGAAACTATAATAAGGGTGTATTAAGAGTGTGTTCAGATCACCTGCTGCTGATTTTCACTACCCTACAATCCGCAACAAATTAAAACTCCATCCCAATCATCTGGATGAGAGGCGATTCTCCGCCGTACGTTTTTTAAGGCACTCTCTTCCACGCACCATCGCGTTTTGGAATCAACTTCCAGCAGCAGTAATTCTGAACCGATACGACGTCGTAACTTTTAAGAAAAGTGCATATTCCTTTTTAAAAAGCCGCCAGCACAATTGCAATGCCTTTAGTGATGCGGGTGATCTTGGGCAGCGGTAGCCACATACCATCAGGTGAGGCGTGCTCGTTTGCCCCCTGTGTTATAAAAATATATATATTACTTCAGAGTCGGCAACGCGCACGTGACACCCCCCGGCATTGCAGGCATTCATAGGCTACAGTGACCGTTTACAATCAGACGGGCTTGCCACTATGCGTGTTTGCCACCTTCGTGGTATATAAAAAGAGAGTTTCTCCCCTCTCCAACTTCGGTGAACCTTTCAACTGTACTTTCAAATTCGAGGCACCAGGATAATCGAGATCCTTGAAATATTTTAGGAAGATATTCATAAAATGCTTTCTGGAAACATCGACTTTTCTAAAGATGTGAAATAAAAAATCTTTACCGAAATTAGATAGTAATCGTTACACTCATTATGTTATAAAAAGGAAAGATATGATTGTTTGTTTGTACTCAAAACTCAAAAACTACTCAACCGATTTTAAAAATTCTTTCACATATAGAAAGCTTATTAGAGATCGATTTTGGCAATAAGGTCGCCCATTGTTTTCTCATTGTGATTATTTCTTGTAATTGTTTATATTTCTAATAAGTTTACTATTGTAATCTTTTGAAGGAAACTGTAAAGAGTATCTATCTATGTATATCAGCGAGTAACATAGGATTAATATTATTCTCGATAATTCTATCTACAGATACGAGATCATTTATTCATAATTTACAAAATTACAAGTTTTTTTTTATACAATTTAGAATGGCAAATAATCTGACAGCCCACCCGATGGAAAGTGGTAACCGTCGCCTATAGACATGAGCAGTACCATGGACATAACAGAGTATGCTGTTTCGCCCATGATACCCCCCACGCGTTGCCATTCCTGAGGACTCAAGTGTTATTCCTCTGTACCCAGTCAATTCACGCCATATCCCACCCTTCAAACCGAAACACAACTGCTTCACGGTTGAAACACGAATGGGACAGGGGTACCCAAGCCATCAACTTTTGTACAAAGTCTCCCTAGTTTCTAGTAGTCTAGTTTCATTTTATTAAGTCATTCTACCCATGCAAAGTCGGGCTGGATCACTAGTAAAATAATATACCTATCTCGTTACACTTACGTAACTCATCTATGTAATAAGAATAGACACGTAATGAATAGTTTAATTGATATAATAAGGCTATTAGAAATCTAATACTCGATCCTTGTTTGTAATCACTGAAAATAAATTCGTAATAATTAGGTATAGAATACTTATTGGCAAATTATTCATTTCCACCCGATGATGATGCCCCAAGTAGGTCAATAGTACACTACGTAATTTTTAATAGTTCAGAAATAAATTAATATAATCTGCCGTATAGACCTGGCATAGGATAGGCCACCAAGTTAATGAGAGAATCGAAAGATGGGCAGCAGCATTTCTCTTAAAACATCACCAACGATTAACTGCGGTTGCCAATTCACCTGCAAAGCATGACTTTTACTAGCAAAATCCATCTTTATTTGGAAGACCTGTATTAAGCAGCAGTTGTGTTTGCATGGCTGTGTTTCGGTTTGAAGGGTAGGATATGGCGTGAATTTACTGGGTACAGAGGAATTACACCTGAATCCTCAGGAATGGCAACGCATGGGGGGTATCATGAGCGAAACAGTATACTCTGTTATGTCCATGGTACTGCTCATGTCTATAGGCGACGGTTACCACTTTCCATTAGGTGGGCCGTCAGCTTGATTGCGATTCTAAGTTGTATATAAAAAAAGCAGTGGACAGTTAAGTAAATGATTTAAATTATTACGTTAAACCCCAAAACATATGTCCTTTTAAAACGAGGCCCATATCATTTTGTCGTGTCAAAATACAGTATGCATCCTTAACAATTGTCCTTGTATTAAAAAATACTTGTAGTTATACCAGTTTATTAATTCCGCTGTGAATATTGGCCATGAGTGATTCAGATGCAAGAGTAATGATTCCACTTGCCTTGTCCAATTATAACTTTATTAAAATTTTAATAACAAACAGTTTGTAGTGTATTTTTCCTATAAAAGAATGTTTTTTGATTCTTTTGGTATAATTTATGCATATTCTTTATTTATCAATTGACTTGGCCGAAGAACTTCGAGGATTAATTACTACCTCGACTTATAAATTCCAAAAGTCATGAGGTCGAATCTGCCCGATGCAACACACTTTGCTTTTTTTTATACAACTTAGAATGGCAAACAAACTGACGGCCCACCTGATGAAAAGTGGTAACCGTCGCCTATAGAGATGAGCAGTACCATGGACATAATAGAGTATACTGTTTCGCCCATAATATCCCTCATGCGTTGCCATTCCATTGTGTCTTTGTTTAAACTTTACCGATGGTCGAAAAGACCATAAAACAAATCAAATTAGTCTGTAAAACGACGGTAGAGTTAAAAATATTCCTTGTAGGAATAAAACAAGGCACGACCCTTGCCATATTGATAACTTTGCTTGACGATATTTTGGAATGTTCAATGTTACTTCTCTCTTTTCATTTAAGAGTTTTCTCTTGTCGGTGCAACTAATTCATGCATCTTCCTCCAGCCAGCTCTATCCCAGGCCATATCCTTTACCTCCCTATATGACATGACACCTAGTGTTTCTTTTATCTTTTATTTTAAATGTTACTTACACAAAAATAATCAAATTCTTATTATTAATAATAATAAATTTATTGCCATTCTTTACAAATAAGGTACAGAAATTACAATTTACATATATTATAATAAATAATCTCGCCATCGACAGGGAGTTCACCCTCATACCTTACAGCCTAAATGGTCGCGTACAACGCGGTTTCAGAGATGTTTTCTCCCACGAACACTCAGGTTATGGAATGAGCTCCCTGCCGAGGTTTTCCCAAGAGACTACAGCATGGAGTTCTTCAAAAGGGGGGTAAAGAGGTTTCTTCAAGGTCGGCAACGTGCGCGTAATACCTCTGATATTGCAGGCGTTCATAGGCTACGGTAACCGCTTACCATCAGGTGGGCCGTATGCTTGTTTGCCACCTCAATGGTATAAAAAAAATACTATATTAGTATTATAAATGTGAAATTGAGTTTGTTTGTTACCTTATAGCGCTTTAGCTGCTTAATCAATCGCTATCAAAATTTATATACACGTATTTTATGGAATAGAGAAGAATTTAGGCTACTTTTATCCCGGTCAATAAACATATTCTGGTCACGTGTATATTTTTTATTTTAATATTCCTAGCAATGTGCTTTCAGTGCAGTTCAGCTGTGATGGTGAAGAGTCGATCCATCCGACCCTCACTGGCGGCCCGCTGCAACATAAGTACCGTCTTGAGCAGGTGCACTTCCACTGGCCCTCCGAGCATTCCATCAATGGAGTCAAGTATGTGGTGAATATATACAGTGCCCAAGTAATTACAACTTTATACTTGTATTCAAGCAATAAGATTTCCACCAATCTTTGAATAGACCCATCACTATAAAGATCGATGATTGCAGACTAGATACTAATGTCAATCGATCTTTTTAATGGATGACAATGGAATGACAATACGTGAGGATGAAAAGGCAGGTCAGTTAGCCCATTATGATGAATTCACTTGGAATTCAGAACGATAGTTTCCAGGGGTTCCAGCAGTTGTTATCAATGGGGCTAGTAATCCATTATCATTATTAACAATCCCTTCCCCCCAATGTCAATAGATTAATAAAATCAATTCTATCCATCTCAAAATCCTATCTTACCCACTCATTCATTTATACCTCTTTACAATTGGTTACCATGAATTTGTATTATTTAATCATTGCTGTCAATATCTGAACTTTAGCAACATGGATTTTAATTATTTTATATATTAATTAACCTAACTTTATGGACACTCATTAATAATGAGTGTCCATAAAGTACATGGTTTCTTTCATACATGTACTTATAGTACTTGCATACACCCACTCTAACTTGCCTACCTCGCTTTGGAATTATAATTTTTGTTTGTATAAATAAAATCCGTTATTGGCTGTATTCATAAGAGACTTAACATGTAAGTTGTTTTTTTAAGAACTTTGGATTTTTGTATAAAATAAAAAAAAATAGAATTTCTTTTACAACCTCACACCAACTTCCATAGAAAGCAAAAATATGGGGTGAAATCGAAGTCATTACTATATATAATTTGTATCAAATGCAGGGTGGTCCTGACATAGAATGGGCCACCACTTCCTTTCCCGTAGGTGTCGTAAGAGGCGAGTAAGAGAACTTAATGATCGAGGGATAATCAGCAGCATCCCTCTTAAAACACTATCAAATGCTAACTGAATTTACCAACCCGCATGCTTGGCAAACAATTACTTTCAAAACCCCCCTTATATGGAAGGCTTATGTTCACCAGTGAATCTAATATTAACAACTGGAAGCGTCATATTAATAGAAGAATAAAATTTTTCTCATGTTTAAATATAGTTTTAATCTGTTCTTAGATACCCTATGGAAATACACTTCGTTCACGTGCGTGCAGACCTTACTGTAAAAGATGCTTTGAAAAACGAAGACGGACTAACTATAGTGTCTGTATTTTGCAATGTAAGTGAATATTTTGTCCATAATCCATATAACTTATAACGCTTATATAAAAACTTATAGCATAGACGAAAGGCGAAAAATCCTCTAAAGACCGCCAGCGTCTTGGTCATAAAAGAATAAAAAACGTATGAATTGGAGATATATTTTGAAAAAGGACATGAAAGAAGCAAATTTAACACCCGATACGGTATCTGACCGTTTGATGTGGCAAAGAATGTCTAGGCGGGCTAACCACGATTGAACCGGGGCTTACAGTGCGGAAAAAAAGCGTCCATCATATTATTTAGAGTAGGTCTTGGAATAGATGGGGATCTTGAGGAGAAATTGTCAGTAATTAGAATTGATTGAGCAATACACCTTGTCAAGTCGACGTCCACGCTTATGATATTGAATTGTAGACATTAAATGTAGGTGCAAACAGAACTAAATGAGCCACAACAAGAGTCGTCGAAAGAACTAATGGAATATGTTCCCAAATTGCTAAACACTGGAGAAAGGATCAGCGGAATCATTCTCGATATGACGTGAGTACAGTTTACAAAACATAATACCTGCTCTATATGACTGTATCTACCTAAGTCAGCGTTTTGTACTTAGAATTACAAGAAAATTAAATTGCCAGAAGGAAACTTTGTATAAATGTCATTTGCTTGTACACCTCTGTCCCATTCGTGTTTCTACCGTAACAGGGTACAGAGGAATTACACCTGAGTCCTCAAGAATAGCAATACAGGGGGGTACCATAGGCGAAACAGTATACTTTGTTATGTCCATGGTACTGCTCATGTCTATAGGCGACGGTTTCCATCAGGGGGGCCGTCAGTATGATTGCCATTGTAAGTTGCATAAAAAAAAATATTTAAACTTTATTATAATCATTATATTAGCCGTTAATTGACCACATGCTGGACATAGGCCTAATAAAGTAAAATAAACATAAGGGGGTTAAAGTTCAAGCTAAATAATTTGAACTTTAATGCACAGTATAAATGTATGTACATTTCAAATATCTATCTATATATTGGCACAACAACTAATATATTAAATATTTTATCGGTTTTCTAATATATAATGTCGAAATAAAGAACCCGATCGAAATTAATATATGTATTCGTAAATACCAGCAATCAGCAAGCAGGTATGAGCAATTATTAAAACCTTGTCTACCAGCAAAAAACAGAGGAATCCAATATAAAGATCGGACTTGTACCAATATTATGCCCACTGCTGAACATAAGCCTCCCCCTTGGGGGGTTTGGTTAGTTAGGGCAGTAGTTGCCACGTTTAGCAGGCGGATTAGAAACTGCAGTTAGGCTTTGGTAATATTTTAAGAGCAATACTACTGCCCATCCGTCAACTATAAAATTTTTCAACCCCTAGTCGCCTCTTACGGCACCCATGTGAAAGGAAGAAGTGGCCTATTCTACGCCGGGACCACTATATATATATATATATATATATATATATATACGTATCATATTACCATACAGAAATTTTACTCTTTATAGAAAACTGCTAAGCGTGAACTATAATTCGTATTACACGTACGCGGGGTCGCTGACGTCGCCAGACTGCAATGAGGCTGTCATTTGGATTATATTCGACACGCCAATCTATTTAACTGACGCTCAGGTGGGTCTTATGATATACTAGCGTTTACCCGCGACCTCTTCCGCGTGACCAGGATATTTATTATTTACACTTTATCACAGCAGTTGCAAAAAAGAAAAGCAAAGTGATACTAAAGGCGGCCTTATCGCCAAGCTTATCTTTTCCAACGTTTGGATAGAGGACCTTATGAATTGATACCGCTGTGTAGTTTATATTCACACGAATTCATTATTTATAAAATTAAACTTTTTGAAAAAGCAACAGCTGAGTTTCTTATCTATTTTTCTTGGCTAAAATTACTTTCCGAATGGAAGGTAATGAAGTAAAGACTATTTCAAAATCCTTAAATCTAAATTTACTTGAATAAAAATATTTCTTTCTGACATTAAAAAAAAATTATTTTCACTATCACTACATAGTATAAAACAAAGTTGCTTCCCGTCTGTTTGCCCCTACGTATGCTTAGATCTTTAAAACTACGCAACGGATATTGTTGCGGTTTTTTTTAATAGTGATTCAAGTGGAAGGTTTATAAGTATAATACATGAATAATATAATATAGAATCACTGGGGGGAAAGGGATTGTTAGTAATGGGGTCAAATAGCCCTATTACTAGCAATATACCGTGTCAGATCGACCACCACGTGGTTCCCCCTGGAAACCATTGTGACTAATTCTAGTTTAATTCGTCAGGATGGGCCAACTGACCTACTTTCATCTTCATCTGTCATCCCTCACTGGTGCCCCGCCAGTGTATACCAATAGCGCAGGCGGGATTACCATACCATTATCACCAATTAAAAAAAAAATATATAGAATCACTGATAATTTTAAAGGTTTCTAATGTGATGTGACATAATGTGCCCACGTGCGAAGACATATGTTTATGTAAACATAAAAATGTAAACAAACTATTGTTTACATCTTAATTAAATTTTATTAAAACAGTCCATACAAAACCGATCCACAGTACCGGCTTTTCAGCAAGGTGAGGCGTCATAACTTCAGAGCTCTGCAGACGCTGAATCAGCATATAGTGTACCGGCCCCCGCACGCCACCTTCAACACGCCGCAGATAGTCAAACTCTTTGACGAGATGGTGCAAGTCGTCACGGAGTTCTTCAGGCACGTCACCAAGTAACTACCTTTAAGCCAAGTCAATCTTTAAGCTAACACTTTTTAAGCCAACGTTATTTTAAGCCAAGACTGTGTTTAAGCCTAGTCTGTCTTTAAGCTATATCAATCTTTAAGCTAACACTTTTTAAGCCAACGTTATTTTAAGCCAAGACTGTGTTTAAGCCTAGTCTGTCTTTAAGCTATATCAATCTTTAAGCTAACACTTTTTAAGCCAACGTTATTTTAAGCCAAGACTGTGTTTAAGCCTAGTCTGTCTTTAAGCTATATCAATCTTTAAGCTAACACTTTTTAAGCCAACGTTATTTTAAGCCAAGACTGTGTTTAAGCCCAGTCTGTCTTTAAGCTATATCAATCTTTAAGCTAACACTTTTTAAGCCAACGTTATTTTAAGCCAAGACTGTGTTTAAGCAAAGCTATATCAATCTTTAAGCTAACACTTTTTAAGCCAACGTTATTTTAAGCCAAGACTGTGTTTAAGCCTAGTCTGTCTTTAAGCTATATCAATCTTTAAGCTAACACTATATTTAAGCCAACATTATTTTTTAAGGAAATCAGAGGAGCAGAGTACAGAGGAATAACACTTGAGTCCTCAGGAACGGCAACGATTGGGAGGCATTATAGGCGAAACAGTATACTCTGTTATGTCCAAATCACCTGATGGAAAGTGGTAATCGTCGCCTAGACATGAGCAGTACCATCGACATAACAGATTCGCCCATAATACCCCCCATAATAAAAAATATTAAAAGTATTATAAAAATATAAATCTATATAAATACTCATATTTGACACACTTTTTAATTAAGCCATGATCAAATAGTAAGATTTCGCGCTAAACCACATATATAAAACAAAGATTAACTCTTCAATAAATATGTGTATCTAAGGATTAAAACACTTACCCTTTATTCATAAAAACTAAAACGTTCTACAAACCTACTTTAACTTAATTAGGGTGTTTTGTCTCTGTCTTTCAAATCACCAGAGGGAGACATTGTAAAGTCGTTTGCTTGGGCACCTCTGTCTCATTCGTGTTTCTGTCGTGAAGCAGTTGTGTTTGCATGGCCGTTTCAGTTTGAAGGGTGAGATATGGCAGTGAATTTACAGGGTACAGAGGAATAACACCTGAGTCCTCAGGAATGGCAACGCATGGGGGGGTATCATGGGCGAAACAGTATACTCTGTTATGTCCATGGTACTGCTCACGTCGATAGGTAACGGATACCACTTTCCATTAGGTGGACCGTCGGCTTGTTTGCCATTCTAAGTTGTATAAAAAAATTTTTGAAAAATTGGAACAAAAGAAAAGGACGGAAAACACTTAAATAGCTAAAATAGGTTTATGAGAGATTCGACCTTTCTATGAATCATTTATATCTGTTAAATACCCATGATAATTTGCTAAATGTGTATAAATAATATTTTTTTATAGATTTATGACAAAGGGATTCAAGACTCGATAACATAGAACAGAGAAGTACCTGAAATATTTAGTTTGTTAATAGATACATCATTTTAGCCAACATCCGTCCACTGCTGGATATAAGCCTCCCCCTAAGACTGCCTAATATATACATAATATGAAAAATTTATATATATAACATAGATCGTCAAAATGTACATAAAAATAGATACCTAGTTAATAAAATATTAAAAAGTTTATGAAGCCTTTTAACTTATACACTTTCTTTACTTACATATTGACATTTTGCTAGTTTTTAGTGTAAAAGTACTGTAAGAATAAGATTGGGACTTGAAAGTCAAACTGATAAATCGTAACTGATCGTTTTCCATACCATATCAGACATGTCAGAAACCAATAAAAGTAATAATCTCTTTACCAAAGATCGAAAGGCAAGAAACACACGAATTGCTCACGTTTTATCGAATTTATTGATCCGTTTTAATTGTTTATTTATTTATACGAATATGAGCAGCGTATTATTATTTAATTTTACTACATAAATAAATAATAATTATTATCTAATTAAATAGAAATAATGTTATTAATGTGAGTTTAAGTTTAAGTTTGTGAGGAAAGCAAGTAGGTTACAAAAAAATTACACTCAGTAAATAAATCAATACTGTTGAAGTGGAACAGAAAGCAATAACTCGGAAGGTAATGAGAAATATATACATATATATATAAAGGGTTTTATCTTTAATTTTAACAACTTTTTTAATAACTTATTGTATTTATTCCAAAAAAAAAATTTAATCAATGTTTTTATTAATATTATATGTTTTTAAAACTATATTAATACTTCACTACTAATATGTAATGATAATTTCTCCTACATCGTAGACACAAATAAAACCGACTTAATTTATAGAAAACCCAGTTATTTTAATTTAAAAACTAAACTACTGTACCGATTTAAATAAAATTTCTATGGGACTAATCCATAAATATATCCTTTTACGTAAAAAAAAATTTCACAAATCACTTGACAACTAACGGAGATATGAGGTAACAAACATAAAAAAAATCCTACGTTCGCTCGTCGAAAAATAAATAAATATACGAGGTTTGTCCGGAAAGTACGTATAAAAGTTTTTTAAAAATTTTATTTTACAATTATTCAGGTAAATCAATTTTATCCCCTTCAAAGTACTACATAATGCACTTGTGCCAACGCCGTTTACTGTGAGAAGGCTCCTTGAAAGTCCTCTGGTTGTAGGTTTCTAGCTGCCCCGTCGTAGCTTTTTTTATCTCATTTATGTCCCCCAAATAAAATTTGGTAAAGAAGTCACACGGGGCCAAATCCGGCGAATAGGGGGGGGGGTGTTTGGTCAATATATCAAAAACTTTTTGTCGTGGTGAAGAATCCAACGTAAACGAAACACGAGCTTTGAGGCGTCTGAGCACATCGACGTAGAATTTTCCATCAACTGTCTGGCCTGGAGGGACAATGGACAATAACATCGAAAAAAACAATCAACATTGTCTTGACATATGAGCGGGATTTTTTAGCCACTTGTGGAAGGTTGGGTTCCTTCACAGCATCATCCCCATAAACTGTTCTGAGATCGGCAAAAATTTCACGGCCATTATTGCCGAGTTTCGAGAAAACGGAAGCGGGCTATGCCGACGGGGTTTCGTTAAGAGGTAACTTCACAGATGGCGTGACAAGCCAGTCGTCGGTCAGACCAGAACTGAAGCATTGTTAGGGACATAAGGAAGGGGTCCTGCGCTTACAAAAACACTTTTATACGAACTTTCCGGACAGACCTCGTACAAAAAAGTTAACTATTACTTGAGTTATTATTTTACATTCATTATTACAATTTTAACTCTAGCTGTGGATATTTTTTTGTAATAAAAAAGAACACTGTAGTGTATTTCATTTATTCAAACAATATTAACAACTATAACTTTTTGTAAATACACATACCATTATTCACATTGTCTACAAAACATTACAGTAAGTATTTCTGTATTTGGTTGATTAGTTAGTAAGTAAACTTATTGCATCAAGTCGATTACTCGATATAATGGTGTCAAGTACAATATAAATTTCAATAATCAAAGTTAACATAAAGTTCAATAAATTGTCACATCAGCTATATCCCAATAACGCCCGCTATTATACAAATATCTCCCGTACATACATGGGCATCATAAAGGTTCCTCATGTAATAAATACAATTTAATATTAATTCAATGTAATTTAATACAATTTAGTTTAATTCAATTTAATTTAATTCAATGTAATTTAATACAATTTAATTTAATTCAGTGTAATTTAATTTAATTCAGTGTAATTCAATACGATTTAATTTAATTCAGTGTAATTTAATTTAATTCAATGTAATTTATTTAATTCAATGTAATTTATTTAATTTAATGTAACTCGATGTAATTTAATTTGATGTAATTTAATTTTACTCAATTAAACTAATTTTAAAAACCGTTAATTTGTACTAACCAGTACAAACAGCAAAAAACCTTTGTGGGCAAACATTTACTCTAATTCTACTGCGAATCAATTCGTTTCGAATCTCCTCAAACAGCGAATTTTCGGGTATGGCATAAATAATTTATTAGTTTAATTACTATTGAAGTAATACTATGCTACACACTGACCTATATATGTACATTTCTAATAAAATTAATACAAATCAATAGAAAGGCTATAAATACATTTGTGTACATTTTATGTGACATTTTCAACAATTTCATATTCGTACGCGTAGTACGCGTCCTGCATGCCTAGTATCAAGTTTCGTATACAAATTAATTTTGAATACTAACTCTTACCCGCGTCTTTGTCTACATGACTGGTATAAATAGTAGCCTTCTCCATCCCAAACAGTACTTATATATCAAGTTTCATGACGATTTGTTCAGGCGTTAAATCACCAAGAGGTACAATAAGAAACAAGCTTACTTCCTCATTTCCACATTTGTTTTTTTTTTTTGTGTTTAAAAGATGGAAATATAGATAACGGGGGCTCAATCACATAATTACCCTTTGTAAATAATAAAAATACCAGTTTTATTTCAAAATAAAATTGATGTTTATGTAAATATATATATATATATATATATATATATATATATATATATATATATATATATATATATATATATATATATATATATATATATATATATATTAAAACAGTTAATCTACTAGTTAATTTGTACATTTCATCATCATCATAAGCCTTTAACTGTCCACTGTTAACCATAAGCCTCCCCCTTGGTGAGTTTTGCCAGGCTTTTGGGTTTTGTTAGGCTTTGGAGATGTTTTAGGAGGGACACTATTGCCCATCCCTCGCCCTCCCTTAGTCTCGCCTCTTACGACACCCGCGGAAAAGGGTGGCCCATTCTACTGACAAACTTCCTCCCCTTATGTTGAGCTTTGGAACTCGCGGGAGAAGCTTAGGTTTAGCAGTGGACAGATAATGACTAATATTTATTTATTTATTCACTAGCGGCCCGTCCCGGCGTCGCACGGGTGGACATTTTTAAAATTTCCCTTAATCGTAGTGTGATGAAAAGTATACTATAACCTGCCCAGGAGTATGAAGAATAATTGTACCAAGTTTCATTAAAATCCATCGAGTAGTTTTTGTTTCTATAACGAACATACAGACAGAGGCAGACAGACAAAAATTTTACTGATTGCATTTTTGGCATCAGTATCGATCACTAATCACCCCCTGATAGTTATTTTGGAAATATATTTCATGTACAGAATTGACCTCGCTACAGATTTATTATAAGCATAGATAGATTAGTACAAATATGTGTACATGGCGGCCTTTATGCTAAAAGCATTCTCTCCCAGTCAACCAAAGGGAAGTGTCAGAATACTCGAATGCGGTACTACTAATTATTGATGACGACGTTTCCATCATGCTATCAAATTTCCTTTATACGTTCGTCCAATTCAAATGTCCATCTACATGGGCCCTAAATGTCACCTACATGTCGTCATAGTCGTAGAATACTGACGGATCTAACGAAGATTACATATAAAGATCCGTCAGTATTCTACGACTATGACGATATATCAATTAAAGACTTGAATAAAACAAACACGTGTTTACATATATAAAGTTCAATATTATTTTACATTATGTACATACTCGTATTACATATATGACGTTACATAGAGATAAGAACATTACATCATGTTATAATAACATTGTAACAGTTGGTAATAATTAAAACTAGTGCGTACTTATGTTACACAGGATTTTTGTAACAATTTCTTGATTTGTTTGTTTCATTTTCACAATACCAGAGGGAGACTTTGTACAAAAGTCGTTCGTTTGGGCACCTCTGTCGCATTCATGTTTCTACCGTGAAGCAGTTGTGTTTGCATGGCTGTGTTTCGGTTTGAAGGGCGAGATATGGCAGTAAATTTACAGGGTACAGAGGAATAACACCTGAGTCCTCAGGAATGGCAACGCATGGGGGGTATCATGGGCGAAAGGGTACACTCTGTTATATCCACGGTACAGCTCATGTCTATAGACGACGGTTACCACTTTCCATCAGGCGGGTCGTCAGCTTGTTTGCCATTCTAAGTTGCATAAAAAAAACAGGTATTTTCAGCAAAATTCCTGTCACATCGACTTTTAAATGTGCTCGCTGAAAAGTTAGCATATCGAATATTACTACGACGGTCAAAAAAACACCTCTGACTACCCCATTAGGTTATTACAACTGTGAAGTATAATTAATTTTGATCTAATAATAAATAAATTAAATTCTCATGTTAAATTACTTAACTAATATATGTGATTACAACAATACAGTCAAATGAAACATTTGATTCTTATACAACCTTGTAATTTGTTAATTATTGCCCTCGATGTTCACTGGATGTGTAGACCTTTGTACTATACATACTTACACATAAGTTGTATTTATAATCTCACTGCAGAAAAAAGTCAATCAGCTAATTGATTTATTCCCTATGATGTCACGAAATTATGCTCAGCCATGAAATGTTCTCCGAAATTTCGGTGCCAAACGAAACAGAAATTTGATGTTAAAATTACATAATACATGCCGTTTGGAAATATTAAAAATGTGTAAAATATTGTTCCTTTGCACTTTTATGATTAACGAAATGTTAAACTCCATTTATTGGTCCGATTTTGGTATAAACAAAAACACGAAATTGAGTACGAAATTTCGGAACTTCATTTCATGGTACACCCGCTGTACAATGACACAGACTATAATAGAAATCTAACTAATGTCACCTACGAAGCGGGCGCACTGCTGATAATTTCTTTTAATTTCTTTTCTATGTACTGTACACGAGCGACGAGCTTGTCTTTAGGGTTGTACTCCGTGTACGGTAACTGTAATACTTTGAAGCCCTGAAACGGGAAAACATTGTTTAGTGATTGTCATTTCTAAGCTGTGCAGGCTTCATGAGTTACTCTGTACACAAAACTACAGTGTAAATAAGATAGATAGATAGATACTGTTTATTGTTTCCTCCAAAAGATTACAATAGTAAACTTATTATAAATATAAATAATTACAAGAAATAACCACAATGAGAAAACAATGGGCGACCTTATCGCTAATAGCGATCTCTTTCAGGCAACCTTTGGATGGAGAGGAGTAATTATAAACAATTTGGTGGGAGGCACGATAAAAAAAATTTAATAAGTACTGGTTAGTCGATTTAGAATTATGTTGTTTAATTCCGATACTATTAGTACGCGCGCGACTGAAAATACTCGAAGATTGACTGCTTTATTATTATTACCAGAAGTTCTACAACATTCCATTTTAACCATCAATCCCCGACCGCTATTCCGTCCACACACGTTTTGCGACACATGTTTCACTTTTAAATGAGACATCTTTCAATGAGGCTGGTGTTAACCGTACGGCATCCACTTATATATATATATATATATATATATATATACATACATACTATATACACACACACACACACATACATACATATATATATATATATATATATATATATATTACCAGAGGGAGACTTTGTACAAAAGTCGATTGCTTGGGTACCTCTGTCCTATTCGTGTTTCAACCGTGAAGCAGTTGTGTTTGCATGGCTGTGTTTCGGTTTGAAGGCTGGGATATGGTATGAATTTACAGGGTACAGAGGAATAACATCTGAGTCGTCAAGAATGGTAACGCATAGGGGGTATCATGAGCGAAACAGTATACTATGTTATGTCCGTGGTACTGCTCATGTCTATAGGCGTCGGTTACCACTTTCCATCAGGTGGGCCGTCAGCTTGTTTGCCATTCTAAATTGTATAAAAATAGACAATCTTCGAGTGATCACTTTCATATTATACCAATAGAAAATACATTAGAAAGGTTCCGCGATTAAACTCTCGCCTGATGGAAAGACGGGTCGTGTTCTAAGAGGGAGCTCGCGGACCTAACAATAGCCTTTTCACATTTGCCTTAAACTGTTGTTGCTTTGAATCTACAAATTAAATATAATGTTTTTTTTATACAACTTAGAATGGCAAACAAGCTGACGGCCCACCTGATGTAAAGTGGTAACCGTCGCCTATAGACACGAGCAGTACCACGGACATAACATAGTATACTGTTTCGCCTGTAATTACCTTAAGTTCCAACAGCCTCGTATAAAGCTGGTTGATGCCTATCGGATGCACCGCCTTCCGCGTCATGTCGTGGTAGTCCAGGCCCAGCACCGCTATCCTGAACACGCTGCGGGATTGGAGACAATTAATATTCAATGGACACTAGTAGGATTCTGGTAATCATCATTCTCACCATCATACAAGCCGTTAAATGTCCAGTTTTTAATGGGTGAAAATGGCATGGTAACCCTACACTATCGGTATACACTGGCGGGGCACCAGTGAGAGGTGATAGGTGAGGATGAAAAGGCAGGTCAGTTAGCCCATCGTGACGAATTCAACGACAAATTAATTACGATCCAGGAGGATCCGCGTGGAGGTCGACCTGATAGGGTATATTGATAGCAATGGGGACTAACCTCCCTATTGCTAACAATCTTCCCCCCCCCCCCAATTATCCAGTGCTGAACATAGGTCTCCTCATAGGCAGTGGTAGGGGAATTGCCAATAATCGCCACACTTGGCAGGCGAGTGTGCGACCTAATTAGGCTTTTGTTGATGTTTTAAGTGGGACGCTGCTAATCAACCCTCGACCTTTGAGTTCCCTTGGTCGCCTCTTACGACAACCAAGGAAAAGGAAGGGGTTGCTCATTTTATTCCTATCATTCACTCATCATATCAGCCTAACTGTCTAGTGCTGAACATAAGCCTTTCCTCTTTGGGGGAGTTCCCAGTATTTGCCACGCTTGGATGTGGGTTGGCAACAGCAGTTAGGCTTTAGAGATGTTTTAAGAGGGATTCTGCTAGCCATCCCTCGCCTTCCCTTAGTCGGCTTTTACGACACCCACGGGACAGGAAGGGGTTGCCTTATTCAATGCCGGGACCATACGGCTAAAAAGTTGACGTATTTCAAATTTAATAACAGTTGCTTGTATACATAATTCGTAATATATAATAAATAATAAAAAAATCACCTTTTTTGACTAGCAGCTTTCTGCAAAGGTACCGGATGACATTTAGCATCCACAGCGAATTCCGCATCTGCAATATGAAATACACGTGTACTTTGAACCTAGAAAGACAAACAAACTGACAGCCCCACACAGAAAGTAGTAATCGTCGTTTATAGACATGAACAATACCATGGACGTAACAGAGTATACTATGGGGGGGAAAGGGATTGTTAGTAATGGAGACTAAGAATCCCATTGCTAGCAATATACCCAACCAGGTCGACCTCCTCGCGGTTCTCCCTGGAAACTATCGTGGTTAATTCCTGATGAATTCATCATGATGGGCTAACTGACCTGTTTTCATTTTCATCTATCACCCTTCACTGGTGCTCCGCCAGCGTATCCCATTAGCGCAGGGTTACCATTCCATTTTCACCCATAAAAAAAATAGTATACTATATCGCCCTTCATATGTTGCCATTCGTGATTACTAAGGTTTAACTAATGCAAAGGTAATATTAACTAGTGCAAATATACCAAACATTCTTTACAATTTCTATTTGCATAGACTGATCCATTGATCAGCTCTCAGTCTGTGTCTGCGAATACTCTGGATAGCATAAATTATTTATTTTTAATGCGGCACATATTGATAATTTTATTTATATTTGATATAATGAAGCATGAGCACTTGCGCCAAGCAATAAAGAACACGTATTGAAATCCACTTATACTTTTATTATATTTTTCTATTACAATTTCCTCAAGACATATATATTACTTATATATATATATATATATATATATATATATATATATATATATATATATATATATATATATATATATATATATATATATATATATATATATATATATATATATATAAAAATAATAATTGTGGAACCATAAAACTATCAACACAAAAACTCAACAAATTATAACATTTATTTTTATATATAGGTAATTATGGTTTTAATGCTAGGTTACAATTCAAAAAACATGTGTACACAACATAATTCACATTTAGACATAACATTTCAAACGACACGTGGAAGACATAATAATTAAAATACATTATATATATATATATATATATATATATATATATATATATATATATATATATATATATATATAATTTACATTAAAATAAAAACCATAAAATATACACCACACAAAGAAATTGAAATTGAAATCATTTATTTGCTGGAATAAGGTACGTTTTTATAGGTGTTACTTTACAAGAAAAATAGTCCAATCTTATTCTGGCACACTGTAGGCGTGCAAATATAAAAACTTATTAAACAAAACATTAAAATAATTTCATCATAATAACATAAACATTTGCAATAAAATTTTGTCACATTTTGTATCTATTCGTGTCAATTCATTGTAATATAAAATCATTAAATATATACACAACACAAAGTGAACACATATCTAATCATTCCCAGACATCCTAAACATGAACTACATGTAAACGTACAAGTTCATTCCAAATGGCTCACGCACCCCCTGAACGATGACAGCTTCATGTCGAATATATCAATGAATTATATAAATAATTTACTCACCATATAAAAATCCCATGCCCGAATTACATTCCTTCCTCAAGAAGGTCTCAGCAGACACCAGGCTCTTGAACGTGTCCATAATACTCTGGACGTACGACGTCTTCTCCTTGGTGTAGACCAGGGGAACACCCACTGATATATCTTCAGGCAACCGAGGCGAGTCAGGGTACGTGAGGCCCACGTATGCATCGATCACCATCAGTTTGCGACGCGCAGGTATTGGAATCTCTAGAAATAAATATATATATATATATATATATATATATATATATATATATATATATATATATATATATATATATATATATATATATATATATATATATATTGAAAAATACATATAGCTTTAAATTTTCATCGTTTTACGATCAACCCATGTATTTTAATCGCGATTTTTATATTATTCAAATTCAAACCATGTTTATCAAATAGTCTTGTTTACAAGCAATTTTAAATCATCATTTATTTTATTCTACTGCAAGGTTCGGAAGGTTGTTATCTGTTGCGAAGAGTCCGCAAGAAACTCAACAGTTATTCTTTCAAATCTCTATTAACATTATGTGTATTTATTTCAATGTACTATGTCTAAAATTAAATGGTCGTTAAAAGCCCGCGCATGATCGACTAACTCCATGCACAATTGTCATTAAAGTAACTAAAGTTTTGTTTGAGAAATCAGTTCAGGGTGACGATAGGACTAATATACCTGGAGAAGGTAAAAGCCTTTAAAATATTAAAAAAAAAATTGTTCAGGCTCTGTTCAATAAGCGTTTTTAATAACAGTTTTAAACTTATTAGAAGGTAAATCCGAAATTATTATATTATAACTGTTAAGAATTGTAGCTTTAATAATTTTCGCCTGGCAACAATATCGTAAAAAAAAAAAAAGTCTTGTCTATTGTTATCGAATGTGTCGGTAGAACGTACGTTCGTTGTCGTCGTTCTCGTTTTCAAATATTATCGCGCGCGTGCATATATTGCCGCGAAAATCGTATAAATTAATATATATGGTTTCGTATCATTTTTAATTATATAACATATAACCAAGAGGCTGATTGAGAGGAGGGCATTGCACTGCTGGTCGGTTCAAGGCGGTGGATAGATAACCCGGATCTGAGGGTAAGTTCGAACGAGCCAGAAGTTAGGAACTTAAAGCTGGAAGCCTAAAGCCAGAACCGAATCCTGCTAACTACAAAGCTTCAGGTCAATGGTCTCCACCTTCATTATCCTCTTGTGTTCATTATTGACCTACCATCATCGTAATAATTTTCATACAGTCCACTAATAACCGTTGCCAATTTGTAACATCTTACTTTACGAACGGTTTACAATAACATTTAATGTCCAATCCCATAAACTATCTATTTTTTTCTAAAATATACTTTGGAACAGCAAGTTTGAATTTGTATCTAGTATTAAGATTATTCAGATCTTTGTTTTTAAGAAGCAGTTGAAAATTCCTGCGTATTTTTTTTACAACACAGTGGGCAAACGCGCATGCAGCTCACCTGATGGTAAGTGACTACCGCCGCCCATGGTCACCCACAACACCTACGGCATTGCAAGTGTGCTGCCGGCCTTTTAAAAAGGAATATGCTCTTTTCTTGAAGGTTATGTTGTTATATACAAAATGTTTGCGTATAATAATAATAAATAATCTGTTACCTCCAGTAGATAATAATTTGTCTATGAATTCTGGACGTAGCGTCGATACTAAGTGCTGCTTGTCGGCTTTGTTTAACGTCAGCAATGAAAATGTTAAATCCAGCCACACCGATGCCTTCGCCATTTCTTCTTCTTTGAGTGATAATGCTGACTGTGGACAGTAGTATTCATCATTAATAGAATACAAGATAAGGGGGGGAAGGGATTGTTAGTAATTGGAGACTACCGTGACTTTTCTTTTATATAACTTAGAATGACAAACAAGCTGACGGCTCACCTGATAGAAAGTGGCAACCGTCGCCTATAGACATGAGCAGTACCATGGACATAACAGTACACACATATACTGTTTCGCCCAAGATACCCCCCATGCATTTCCATTCCTGAGGACTCAGGTGTTATTCCTCTGTACCCTGTAAATTCACGCCATATCCCACCCTTCAAACCGAAACACAGCCATGCAAACACAACTGCTTCAGGGTAGAAACACGAATGGGACAGAGGTACCCAAGCAATCGACTTTTGTACAAAGTCTCCCTCTGGTAAAAGGGACTCCTCTCCCTCTGGGTTTAAGGAGCCAGGCCCCCTGGTAAATAAAAACACTTCATTTCTCATACCTCAAAAAGTTGTTCGCTCTGTGGGGGCACGAAATCAACTGTTGCAAATGTAATAACAGCGGACGCCACATCTCCCGGTCTGCAAACGGAGCTGTTCTTCTGGATCCAGTCCGATATGGCAGTCAGCGTGGCCTCGTGGCGGTACTTGAGCAGACCGAGGGAGACTATGATGGAATTTACGACTGCTGGCTTCTCCTTGTTGGACGGAAGACACTCAATAACGTCACTGAAATCACACCCCGGACATTTCATACAAGAACGCCACGATTCGTGTTTGTCGCAACTACAGAAACAAATTACCATCTGTTTTTTTTGATGGGTGAAAATGGTATGGTAGCCCCGCCTGCGCTAACGAGATACGCTGGCGGAGCACCAGTGAAGGGTGATAGATGAGAATGAAAACAGGCCAGTTAGCCCATCATGATGAATTCATCAGGAATTAACCATGATAGTTTCCAGGGAGAACCGCGAGGAGGTGGACCTGGTTGGGTATATTGCTAGCAATGGGATTCTCAGTCTTCATTACTAACAATCCCTTTCCCCCCGTGCGTGTGTAGTTACGATTATGGCGGGAAAATAGAGTTTGGGTGCTGACGCGTGTTCGAGAGGGGGTGAGGCCAGATCGCAGGGGGCGGCAGGGGGAGTCCACACGGTACTTTAGTATTATTTACTTATACTATCTGAATATTAAGTAGTGTGATTGATGTATGTGTGAGTCAGTTACTATATGAACATAATCATCATCATCACCTTCCTACCCTTATCCCAATTATTATTTGGGGTCGGCGCAATATGGTTTCATCCATATTACAAAAGGATTTAGCTTATAGTTTTACCGCGGCCGCCTGCCTGACGTCAACCCTCTTTGGAAATTATGATAAATAATAATACAATAAAAAATTATCTTAAAAAATGACTATTGTCCTACTATTTGAACATAATATAATTAAAAATTGTGTCTGACAAAAAAAAACGACTCCAATTGTGACAAAACCAGTAACTTTGATTTGAAAACTAAACTACTCAACTGATGTTGATAAATCTTTTAAAGGACCAATACTTAAGGATATACCTTTCAGATAATAAAAGATTTTGTTTTTTTTTATACAACTTATAATGGCAAACAAGCTGACGGTCCACCTGATGGAAAGTGGTAACGGTCGGTTATATACATGAGCAGTACCATGGACATAACAGAGTATACTGTTTCGCCCATGATACCCCACATGCGTTGCCATTACTGAGGACTCAGGTGTTATTCCTCTGTACCCAGTAAATTCACGCCATATCCCACCGTTCAAACCGAAACACAGCCATGCAAACACAACTGCTTCACGGTAGAAAAACGAATAGGACAGAGGTACCAAGCAATCGACTTTAAAAAAAAATACATCCAAATTGAGAATTTTTTTTTAATTCGGTCAAAAATCCTTATAATAAATAAATACAATAATTAAGAACAATACAAATACTACTATTCTTTATATTAATAATTCTAATTGTTGGCACTTCGTGGTACTTTAAAAACATGTAGGCTACTAACCTCTTTCAAACCTACATAGTTGTAGAGAGTCTAGATCACGTCGGGGTCACCAGTGTAGAGGCGTGTAGACGTGGGCTTGATGATATTTTATACATATAAATATCATCAAGCCCACGTCTACACGCCTTCATTCAGAAGGAGTGAGAGAAAAAAAAGATTAAGTACGAGATTGTATAATTAATAATATTACAAGTAAATAATTACAGATATAATAAGTCGCGATACAAAATATTGTTCGGTACAATTGCTAAGACAATAAGATTGTCAAAAACGTCACTATTTACATTTCTACAACTATGTAGGTTTGAAAGAGGTTGGTAGCCTACATCACTCCCCCCCAATAGTCCTTGTATTAAAAGTACATACATACATATCATACATATCTGTCACGTCTGTCTCCCATTAGGGTAGGCAGAAACAATGGAACGCCAAATGCTTCGATTCAAACAAACCTCTTTCGCTTCTTCCACATTCATCAATCTTTTCATACACGCTCGCCAGTTACGGGGGTATTAAAAGTACTTTACAGTTGTATTAAAAGTATTTTTCTAATAATATCAAAACCTACTTACTTGCATATTCTATCCAACAATAGAGGATCTGGAAAATTCAATGAAACCATAGAGAAAAGGAGGTCGGCAGACTTTTTTAGGTCTATGATTTCACTGGTTTTATTTATATTGTGCGAAAGGGCGCGAAGTAGAGGTGTGCTCCGTCGACTTTTCGAATGCAATGCCTTCATCACCTGAAAAATATGACATGTTCATAACTATATATTATAAATCCTTACTAATATTATAAACTAGCTGTTGCCCGCAACTTCGTCCGTGTTTCCGTTGTTTTTCGTAAAATAAGTAGCCTACGCCCTTCCTCACGGTTTAGTGGTTTTGATGTAACAGACACATTTCCCTTCACTGCACTGCTCTTATTGATCGTAGCGTGGTGACAAGTATACCATAACCTGCTCAGGAGTATGAAGAATTGTACCAAGTTTCATTAAAATCCGTCGAGTAGTTTTTGTTTCTATAACGATCATACAGACAGACACACAGACAGACAAAAATTTTACTGATTGCATTTTTGGCATCAGTGTTAATCACTAATCACTCCCTGATAGTTATTTTGGAAATACATTTCATGTACAGAATTGACCTCTCTACAGATTTATTATAAGTATAGATAGATGTAAAAGTGATTTTATTTGTTACCTTATAATACATTAACCGCTTAACCAATCACTGAAATTTGGTATACATATATGAGATGGAGAAGAATATAGACTACTTTTTATACCAGTAAGTAATCATATCGATATGCTTTCCAACAGGTTGACTGGGAGAGATCTCTGTCAGAGATAAGTCCACCCTTGCTCACAATATTTATAAATGCATTAACAATGTAATTTACAAGTTAATTTAATTGAATTAACAAAACTAACAATAAACATTGTTAGTTTAAAAAAGATAGAAATATTTTTTTTTCATTACACAGGTACAATAATATTTGGAGGGAAAATGGAATTCTTAGGAATGGGAATCCAAATTGCTACCAATATATCCAGTGGTTTCCAAAGGTTAACTCCTTGAGGTCACCTTTGGAAACCACTGTAGTATATTAGAAATTATTGTACCTAAGGTTGGCAACATTGGAAAATGAATTAAGCTTCTCTGTCATGGCGTCCTTCAATTAAAGTGCATATTCATTTTATAAGCAGTTTTTTTTTTTTTTATTATAAAGAAAAGTTATTTAAGCATGCAAAGCACATCTGTTTTACAACATTATAACCACCATGCTTAATTACAGATAACTTTACCATGATGGGCTAACTGACCTACGTTTGCATACTTACCTTCCATCCTCCGGTTCACTGCCAGCACATACTGATAGCATAAGTGGAGTTACCATTATCACCCTTAAAAAGTAAACTAAAGTTCCCACAAAATTAATGATGAGAAACATACCTTAACCATTTGAGGTAGCGTCAAATTGGATATCAACCTGGCTGCTTCATCATCACCGGTTATACCCAAAACTGTGCTCAGGTCCTCAGCCATAGTCAGCGATGTCATGGCCTGAGCCGTAGTTGGAGTTCTGGCTAGGATGCGACATAACTTTAGGAACCGAGGGTCCTTCTCGAAGTCAGCCAATTTCACTTTGTTATTACTTGACCATTCTGATAGAACTGACACCATCTGTAAATACATTGAGACGTTGGTTTTTATTATAATCTATTTTTATATCCTTAGAACTATAAATAATCTGAACATGTCTTTTTATCAAAATTAGGCATTTAAAATTAAAACAGACAGTAAGGTGTTATGTAAGCAATAAATAGTTCAATGACACTATAATTTTTGTAACATGACTTTCGTATTTGAATAATATTTCCAATATAGTAAACCAAAATAAAAAAAGAAACATATACATATTAAGTTTGTTACCTCACAACTCCATCAGTTCCAAACTGATTTGGAAAAACCATTTATCTGAAAGGATATACTTACAGACTGGTCCATTAGAATTTTTTTCAAAATTGGTTTAGTAATATTATTACAATAATTAGTTCAGTCCATAATAACTGGGTTTGTTAAGATTAAAGTTGTTTTTATTTGCGGGACACAATTTTCAAATATTATTCAAATAAATTTACCATTAACCATTTTTGAATAAAGATTATCAACTGCATCTATACTCTTATACTTATGATATCTATAGTACTCCTCATTGCTTACCTTCAAAGCATGTCGTCGAGACACAACAGAATTTTCAGCGGCAATCAATAGACTATCGACATCTGTAGCCTTCAAGATTTGAGCATCAAGTTGCTGCAACTTACTGTACTTTACTGACTTAGGGCTTGGTTTCTTTATGTCGGAGTCAGGGTTACTGAGAGATGCAAATGCAGCTGCTACCAGACCTGTTTACAACAACAATAACTTTTCACCACAAATAAAGCATGACTGTTCCAGTTTGAAGAGTGTGATATGGCAGTAAATTTACTGGGTACAAAGGAATAACACCCGAGTCCTCAGGAATGGCAACACATGGGGTGTATCATGGGTAAAACAGTATATTCTGTTATGTCCATGGTACTGCTCACGTTTATAGGTGATGGTTACCACTTTTCATCAGATCAGCCGTCAGCCTGTTTGCCATTCTAAGTTTTATATAAAAAATTTAAATCAAAATTTTATTTTGTTTTTTTTTTTTATAGAATCTTTTACTTATAGATATCTTGTTCTGATAATTAAAAACATTATAAACAAAGCAGAGCTGCAGCCGTTTTGAAGTTATTGTCAACATACATTCAACAATTGATTAAACTTAGAATAAAGTTGCATAAAAAAAAACTTACAATCTTAATGTAAAGAATAATTTACACAATATTATTTATGCTTTTAGAATAAAACTATGTTGAATTTCTTCTCATCGAAAGAAGACTGGCATTGTATTTGCTTTTCTGGTAAATCTCATTACGATATAAAGCCTGATACAAGATATACTCAAATTTAGAGAACCTCTGGACATCAAGAATATTTGAAATTTTGCAAAAAGTTCATTCCTATGAAGATATTGGAATCAGTAGAAAAACCAATCTCATTTGGATCAGGGGCAATCTCAATGCTCAGATTTATTCTGAAAGGATATGATCATTCCTTTGTGAAGCCAGTTGGGTGATGTGTATTGACTAACGCATGACAATGTATGTCCACAGACAACTAGAGTGATAACACACACTCTTACCAAAGCTTGCATTAACATTCTGCTGTGGCCTACTAAATTGCCGGACATTGGCATTGTATTGAGCATTGAGACATTGGCTATTGAGCATGTATGGGATATATTCCAAAGAAAAGCTCTGCTGAGTATGGATGCAATGCATACCTCACACATTTTTTATTTGTTAGAAAGAATATAGGTGGCCATTCCTCAAATTGATTGATGATTAGTTTCAATAGTGGAAACACAGATTACTATTTTTTTTTTAATTTACAATATACATAAAATATCCTCATTTTTTGGCATTTAAGTAATTGGTTTTTATATTATTACATATGATATATTTACATTATCTCATGTGATTTACAAAAATTGCAATTTTTCTTAATTTGTACAAAATATAGGGATAAGTAGTTAACTTAAGCACAGGAATTTAAATAAGAAGCCACTCTGGAATACAACTTTCAGTAAATATTAATAAAATGTGTGTCATTTTAATTTCTAGTCTCATATTATTTAGTCATTGTTTTTACCTGAATTGTCTTTATCCTCATCAACAATGGGCTTGAAATTCTTCTCAGGTCCACTGCCAGATGTATCAATTTGACTACCTTTAAATACAGTAGCTCCAGAACTCGAGTATGTCCTTGCAATAGTTCGACCACCTAACCTCCAAATTATAGGACCGCTAAATTTCAGCATCTAAAAACAACACTTAAATAAACTACATACATTCAGTTAACCAAACAATAAATACAGGTCTTAATAGTGTCTGTTACGCAAAAATATGAGAAAATAATTTAAAAACCAAGTCTAAAACTGTCTTACATCACGACTGATAGTGGATGTAAAAGAAAAAGTAAACTAACACCAGTTAGTGGGAGAAAATATTAAAAACAATAAATGAACAGCACCTTTCTAGATATAATTCTAGATATTATCTGAATAGAAAACAATATTTTTCAAATCAAATCATTTACAAAAATAAAAATCGTAATTTATTCATAAAATTGACATTGACGTAACAAAAGTAACAAGCATTAAATCTATATTTTGACACTGACACTTCTTTTGCCATTTATCTGTGCAAATAATTGCAACATTATAACTTAAAAAAAAAAATAATAAATATAATAATATTAGTTTGTTTATTTGAAATATAATCTTTCTAAAATTAACTCCATATCACAATTGATATTTATAATTTATATATAATTGCTTTTTCTTTATTTTCACACACCAATTAAAAGTAAAACAATTTGTGAACGGCAACTCAGCGGTGAAATTAACGCCCGATAGTGTTTGACAAGTGAAGCTATGTGTGAAGATGTTTGGATCATAATCCATCGATTAAAATTCGAATTTTATCACGTTATTAATTTTCTTAAATATCTATGAAACAAATAATCCGAAACGAAGTTACCACTGCATTATTATTATTCACTATAATGTTCTTACTTCCAAAAAATATATCTTGTCATATGATGAAAAGATATAATAAAAACTTTCTGGTACGAAGGTATCGTGATTAGAGACAAAAAAAACAATCCTTTTCTTCATTATATACTAACTGTAACTTGTATCTTTTCCGGCGAATATTAGAAATTTTGCATTTAATATACTCCTTCGTACATACAGAATATTATCATGTCAACGTTTGCTTTCTGTTTGTTTCTATATAACAGTCTTGATGTTAACAATTTACCCAATTCCAGATGAAATCGTCACAACGTACATAAGCTAAATGATTAACTTCATACTCTCGTAATAGTAAATATATCATATATTTGGTACCTTATAATTTATTTGGTAGCCCGCCTGTACTCACTTGGTGGTACCATGTAAGTACATGGCACAAGTAAGGTAAATTTTAATTTTCAACCTATTAAAAAAAGTTTTGTTAATGTTTTTATTATAAAAAATTTCAATATTTTAATTACAATATTTATGTAATATTTAACATTACAATGGGGTTGATTCTAAAGCGCCATTTCTCTAAACCTATCTTTAAAGATAAAATTTTATTTTGATATTTATAGCGAAATCATAATTTTAAGGAACAATATGAACTCATTTTCTAATAAATTTAAGTCATAATTATTGTAATTTTAGTTTATGATGGCTTATAAAACATTAATTTCGCGTAATTATTAAATTGAACAATAAGTTTAAGAGACATTGTTGCAGGAACGAGATCCAGATTCGCCGATTTCGATTCGGTGACACAACTTTATTAATACGAGTACTTTTATACGTAAACAATAAATATTTAAAAAGTTTTTTTTTTAATATATTCCATTCATTCATATTTTTGTGTTGTATTGATTATTTTTATTATTATGATATATAACTACTTTTTGATTGTGTATGTTTGATTATAGTGACAATCAATGGTATTCAAAAGAGAGTACAACACTAAAGACAAAATTGCGAATTCTTCGACGGTTGTGCGTGGGAGATTTGTTATGATATTTTTGTTGATAATTGTAATTGAAAAGTGTAACCGGTATTTAAAACTATGATATTGGTGAGTTAATGGTTTTTGTTTCTATCACGTAATAACCATTTTTCGATTGCATATCAATTTTCCTGTGATTAGCATTTTGTTGCTGCTAATGTCACGGAATGTAAGATCGTTATTTTTGGCAATTTATCGTTTATTCTTTTTGTTTCAATAAAATAACGTATTTTTCCTGTTATATTAAAATATTAATGGTAAGTCCTGTTGTAATTAGGCGAGTAATATTTGACTTTAGGTATATGTGTTTCTTGTAAATAGATATCTAGTTATTACTTCTACCTTCATTGTATCGATAAATTATGTACCTTATCTGCATAACCTTTTCGCCTTCGATCTGTGGCAGAAAGTACAGTAACTTCAATGTAAAACAATAAATCTTTTCTGATTTGTATATATTTTTTTACCACATATGAACTTAATTATTATTTACAATCTTATATATCGTACATGTCCTCTGCAAAAGTGAATAGAAATAAAAGTCTTCTATAAGAGTGGGTAAAAACAATGGAAAACCAATACCAAAATGTCATGTTTTTTGTCTCAACTATAAATTTTTAGTAATCTATTTAGTCATACAAATTCACCAAATATTAGTATCCACCTCCATTTACTTTTGGATTTATGATTTGGTTGATTACACTTCTAACATTAACCATGCCCACTATAAGTGTGAACCTGATTTATTTCTCTTCCCTAAGACATTAATTATGTATCTAGTAAATTCTTCTGTTTTCTATTACTCATCTACTTGGTATGATAGTAGATAATTTAATAATTAAATACTAAGGCCATTGTTATGCTAAATTCTATTATGCTCTGCAAAATGTAGGTATGTCAAGTATTACTTTCATCACAGTGGTAACAGTTAACAAATGCCTATGATTATCCTATTATTTGACTATACATGGTTATGAATATATTTAAGTTTTTAGTTATTTTATTGCAATAAGTGTTAAAGCTTCATGTCACTTGTAAAGACATGCATAATATTTTATATTAATATCACATACCCTAAGCCTATTAATTAAAATTTTTATCTAGGTAAGGTCAATGGTTTAATGCTATAACAGCAAAGTTACTGCCTCTTGATAGTTATGGATTTGATCCTTAACAATGCAAGATCAAATTGAAATGAGCAACCTTTGATGGGAATATTAAACCAGAAAATTAAAAAATTTCTTCTAAGAAACATGGATGAAATGTGATAAACAAAATAACTTTTGAACAATATGTATGAATTGGTGAGGAGGGCTCATAATTTTTTTCCTTGTTTGTTTTGTTGAATTTTTCATTCAAAACATTTCTATCCTAATAGTGTTATGCAGCTTTCATCATTATCAACTGAGCCATGATCTGTCCACTGCTGAATGTAGGCCTCCCCCCCATATACAACCGTAAAGAATGATCCTGAGCCACTTGCATCCACTAAATAGTATACAGCCATACTATATAATATTTTATGTTCTACTAACAATTCCAATTTTACACCATAAACATCTGTATTCACAAATATGTTTCTATTGGTCTAGATGATATGAGGATGGTATATTTACCAGAGGGGCACGTTGTAAAAAAGTTGTTTGCTTGGGTACCTCTGTCCCATTTGTGTTTCAACTGTAAAGCAGCTATGTTTGCATGGCTGTGTTTCGGTTTGAAGGGTGGGATATGGTGTAAATTTTGAGGGTATAGAGAAATAACACCTGAGTCCTCAGGAATGGCAATGCATGGGGGGTATCATGGGTGAAACAGTATACTCTGTTATGTCGATGGTACTGCTCATGTCTATAGGTGACTGTTACAATTTTCCATCAGGGGGGCCGTCAGCTTGTTTGCCATTCTAAGTTGTATAGAAAAAGTAACTTTTAGATTATCTAGTACCCATAAGTTTGGAACCAGTTAGCACTATGTGATATATATTTAAAAAAAAATCTAATCAAATCTGTGGACTTTGACTTTTATAATATTTAAATGGATAAGGATTAATTAATCTTTGATTACTGATTATAGACAATATTTAAATAAATCCCCTCTTATCTTAAGTTATTCCCCATTTATAAAAAAATAAACCTTTCTTAATGTCTTTATTCAATAATGAAATTGAATTTATTCCATATGTTGTTTAAAAATATAAAGATTAGCAATGTAAATAATTTAAGAGTGTTTCCACAAATAAAAATGTTATAATTTTGGTAAAACTATTGATTTTGATTTCAAAACTTAACTACTGAACCGATTTTGATAAAATATCTATGGAACTCATCTGTAAGTATATCCCTTCAGATAAAAAAATAAAGTTGCACATCACTTTATAACTGATGAAATTATGAAGTGCCTAATTAAGAAATATGTAATTGAATTAAGAATCTTTTTCTTTTTGAAGTTATTTGAATAAAAAAATGAGTTAAACATACATACATACATATCTGTCGCGCCTGTCTCCCATTAGGGTAGGCAGAAACAATGGAACGCCAAACGCGTTAAACAATGGTAAAAAATAAAACAATAACAGAATATAGAGATATGCCTCTGTTATACATACATATATGACTTTGTCCAACTCCTCTCCCCACTCTCACCCTAAATTCAAATCTTTGAATCAGTTCTTTAGCCCAATAATGTAAATATCAACAGTTTTTATTTTTATAGATTAATAATGTCACACACAGGTGTGACTTCTCTAAAAGTTTTATTAGGATGTATTGTGTATACTTTACCTTCTATAAAAAAGTCCTTACTAATTATAAGATAAAGGGGAATTTATTTGTTGGTGTTTTGTTACCTCTTTGCAGCTTCACAGCTTAACCAATTACTTTGAAATTTGGAAAAGGTACATATACTATATGGGATGGAGACATGGCTGTAGCTAATGGGGGAGGGAGGCATTGAGGGGCAATGCTCTACCTTAATAGTTTCAATACCCTACCTTAAAATGAAAGGCCCCAAGATTTAAACAGATTTGCTTTATCAAAGTCACTTAATTATGGCTTCTGCCTTACCAAAAAGTTCTTTTGCCCTACCTTAAACTTGGGTATAGCTACGGCCTTCGATGAAGGAAAACATAGGTTACTTTATGTCCCGGTCGTAGGTAAAAATTGTCTATATTACAATAAAATTTATATCAAAATTGTTGCATAGCTTAGAAGAAGTAACCAGCGAAATAGACAAACTTTTTTTTATGCTATTTAAAAATGAGAAACAATTTATGGAAACAACTGAGAAAAAGAAACTATTAATATAATGACGCGCGAAGTTTTCCAGAGGGCTTAATTAATTTGTCTGTCAATCCATGCGTCACAGCGTTGCTAGAAATATCCCATTGCTGCTGTTTGCTGGAGATTTTTTATTTTTATACCACCATTGCGACAGTTTGTCTGTTTGTCTAAAACGATAAAAACACGGTCAATTGCGACGAAATGTGCTTAAGATGTTGAAGACTAACTTCTGCGTTTGTGTGAAATTTCTATTCGTATATTTGTAAGTTTTTAAATAATTTTATATATGCAGACACCAA